CAAGTATCTTTTAATACAGTCTTTGCTGTGCTCTTGAGGATCCTTGTGATATTTTGAGCTCTAGTTGAATGATAAGTGTCGCATTTTAAATCATTTTCGTAGTTAGAAATTATGAAACGCCCTGTTAAAAGCAAGGGAGTTTTTATGCCTGTTGAAGTAAAACAAAATGCCTGACAAAGTATTGCTTGGACAGATTCCAAGTGCTTGTACAAATGTGCTAAAGAAATTATACTTTTGAGTATGCAGCTTGTCCAAAGTAATTCATTATTAATACTATTAGTAATATCTTCGGTAAAGGCTTTGATGCATAAATATTTCTGATAAAGGTAGGTTGTGTACTTTTGTCCAACTGAGCAATCTTGCTTTCATAAAATATACCAACATTTTAATGACTGATGATTAACATGCTGTAATACACAGTTCAAAATTAAAAGCTCAAATGCTGTACATGAGAGGTTAAGCTCCTCCTGGCGGTTTTACAAGGTGACGCCGGATAGTTTCCAGTTTCCGGCATGACGTCAAATGACGAGATTAACTGCGTGATACTGCGTAATACTGCGACACGCGTATGCCGCGAAATACCCCACACATTTTGAATCACTATCACTGTGTAGTACAATCGGCTATCAATGTTACATTTGACTGATTTATATAACCTCCGCAGCTCTTAAAATGTTCATTTGTGACAGGTAACAAGAAAATGTCTAAACGTATGTCAATATACATACACGTAAATAAGATAGATTGTGGTAGATAAGCAAGTGTACAGAAATAAGTTAATTGGTGCTCAAATTCCCCAGATTTAATCATTTTGTCGTTTTGCCAAATACTTTAATCTTAGAAAACACTCAAGTGCATTTGGGGTCTTTTGGTGGCTGAGAGGAGGGGTACTATTGATTGATGTAGAAAATACTTTGAAGTATTAAAATGTACGTGGAAAAATATTTATTAACACAATAGTGTTCAACAGTTTCCCCTTCAAATTCAAAGCACATCATCAAGCTGCACAAGACACATGGTTCCTCTAATATTGTAAATTGAATATGTTGCCCAAAATGTTTTTGAAAGAAATGGACAATATGAAGATCATAGCACTTTGCACTGGTATAAATGTTTATAGAAGTTTTTAGACACTGATAAACAGTGATTTTTTTAGTAACTAATCAGTGCTGGTGGAGTAAGTGGTAGGTTTTAGATTGCTAACCAGAAATTTATTCCTTAAGGTTGTTGATGATGCCGAAGACTTTGTATCGGTAGATGACCTATGCAAAGGAGCAGAAGTGTCCTACAAGAGAGAGGCGGTCTGTCCAGCAGAAGAAGCAGAAAAATCTAAAAAGCCTTCCTTATAAAAAAGACTGCATGTGCGCATTTTACGCAGTTCTTTGTTGACATTTTATAATTTTTCTCTTTACTCTGAATAAAGTTTTTTTTTCAAATTATTTCATTAAGGAATAAAATATTTAACTTATTATATGGGATGAAATAAAATAGATTTTTAATTTCCAATGCAGCCCTTTTTTTTAAAAAAATTGAACTTTAAATAAGCAAATGGTTTGAGAGCATTCATATATTTGATTATGATTTTTGAACATGTGAAATAGAACAATGTATTAATCCCATTATGTGATAATATTTAAGATTAATGAAAATGCTCATAGCAATTCCAAAGCACCTCCAAAATTTGTTATGAATATAAAGGTAATACAGTTTTTTATGCGGGTTAAAAATCATGCAATTATCATCCAGTTCAATTTTGAATCTAAAATATATTTGACAACTTTATGGATAACTTTGTCCAAAAAAATCAATTTATGGAGAATTTCATAAGATGCTTGTTGCTGTGATAATATTCACTTGCCATAATATGTTTTGACAATTTATATTAAAGACCGTTCTAGTAATATTTTGCAAGTGGAATGAAATGCTTATAGATTTTTGTAATATGTCAACATCAACTAATAAACATAAGTTGTTTATTCTTATTTTCTACTTCCTATTTTGTAGAAGGGACCTGAATTTCAAAACAATCTGAGTGAGTAGTCATCCTCATGCGTAATTGTCTTACCAAATATTATATTGTTTTCATTTCATCTTTGGAACAAATGCTATCTTTAGATTTTTTTTTGTATGCCTTTTTATATTCCATATGTTAAGTATAACATCAGTAGAACAGGCTATAAAAGCCTGTTTCAAGGTACCCACAGAGCACTGACAAGTGATGGTGCTGGCTAGCCCTGTAGTTTTTCATCTAAATAGAGCACATACACTACAGGGACTGAAGTTGGATTTTATTCTGAAAACTAATTTATGGTAAAGTACTATGTTTATTCCATGCTGAAAAGAGAAGAAAGAAAACAATGTTTTGGCTGTGGATTTTTCTTCAGGTGTAAGAAAGATGACTCCACAGCCAAATGTTGTTTTCTTCTCTTTTCAGCATGGAATAAACCTATTACTTGTTCCTTTGCAGTCTATGCATGCTGTCGCAGCTACCCACCTGAACAGTTTATAATAAGGCACCCAGGATTATATATCTGTTGTCTGGGTGTCCTTCAAAATTATTTATACTTGAGATGACGGAAACAAAAATACTTAATAAATTCTTAATTTACACTGTATTCATAATAGCATTGCACGGAACAAAGTCATTTGTCATAATTTCAGACATGTCAGAAATAAGATTTTATTTAAAATAATCTGGGGAATGAATACATGTCACACTGTTTTCTATGTAGTTTCTATCCTTTTCTGTTGTGTCATAGAAGAACTCTTGTTAATCTGCTGATCCATGCAATATTTTCACGGATAACCACTGGTAATTTTTCCTCATAATTTACTTCTTCATTGTTATCTGAAAATTATACATTGCACTTCCTAGGACTGGGCTAAAAATGTCTTCATGGAGTTCCAACTTGCAACATCACACCTGAAGATTTGAAAAAAAGATGGGCTGAAGAGTGATAGTTTACATTTACTGGAACCATTTGAAATTGGGGGTGAGTTTCCCGAAAGCATTGTAGCGCTGAGGACATCGTAAACTTGATCTTAAGATGTATTGTTAATGTACAAGTGTTTCCCATCATATCTAAACCATCATATCTAAAATAGCACGTTAAATCCTTCGTGATCTATGTGCTCCCTGACCCACTCGTTAATCACTAAGTGCTTCTTAAACTGGCTACCTCTTGCACCAACCTTAGTGACAGAGATCGCCAGACAGAGCACATACAAGTCACGTCATGACAATTCTCTGAAAAATTAGAATAATAAGATTGTATATTAAGGATTGTGATATTTTGTTGTACTATGTAAGAGGAAATTGGGGAAAAAACATTTATTTATACAGTTATTTATTAGTTATACTGGGAAAATTTCATATTCATAAGTCAAATGGTCCAATAATACACCTTTTTATACTTTTGAGGTGGAGCTGAAATTTAACTTAAATTCCATAAAGACTAAAAAATACTAAAGCAAGGAAAACATTTGATATATGTAAACATATAACTTGGTTACATAAATATTTACCTCATTGCTGCTGGCAGTTCATTGTTTTTTTGTTCTGTTTGTTTTCTTTCTTTTATCTGTATTTTCTCCTCTACTTGTATTTGTAAATTTGTTATATTGTAACAAATACACCCCTGTGTATAACAGGAAGCTTGGCAGCCCAGGCCGAAAGAGTTCTGCTTTTGCTCGGCTGGCAAGTTCCCTGTTGCATGAAGCAGGAGACCCAGGTTCGATCCCATGCGGTGGTGGGATGAACTGGGGTGGGAGCGACGAGAGCACATGCCCAGAGAACCCCAATCCGTTGGAATACATTTAATTAAAAAAAATAAAAAATGCTAAGTTTTATACTTGACTAGATAATATGATTTTTATGATGAAATGCAGTAATGCATTATTTAAGTTAAATCATTGGGCCTTATATTTATATTTAAAGTTCGAATACCATTTTATGTTCTGTCGTGATTGTTGACAGTAAAGCTTAGACCTGCTTGTTTTTAAATTTGATTATAGGTCCTGTATTTGTTGAGTGACACATGCCAAGCTTAGTAGTTTTTTCAGATGTCATGTTAATAAGACCAATTAAAATGTAGTTCCAATACACCCAATAACTATAAATAACAGTATTTTCTCATGAAACACTGATTCTTAACAATGGCAGCATGCCAAAAAATTATTGCTTTAAATTAAAGACGCCGTGCAGTATGCATACGCTGTCCACAGTCAGTCTTGGTTTTCTTTTACGGCATGTCAATTATTTATTTTATTTTCTCTTAGAAACAAATGGTGTCTCATTTTGTGCCTTTCTATACACTTTTGTTTAATTGGTTAATGATGTAATGTTTACTTCATATTCCTTTTCACAAGTTTATTTCATCCCACTGAAGGACCAAAACCGACACCATATAATGAAAGTATTGTCAATCGATTATTTTTCAATCAACTTGTGATGCTTTTTGTTAAGCGACTTCAGGGGCAGGGTTAACAAAGAAGTACTTTATACTCACTTGTAAAATTGCCGATTAAGAAGGGTTTTGTGAAACGCACGTAAAAGTGGCACATATGTTGTGTATACATCATAAAGTTGCATGTTAATCTCTAAGATTCATCATTTTCAGGGAAACTCACCCCGGAACAGTTAATTAAGAGGCCAGGTCCATTCTCAAGGACCCCAGGCAATCCCAGTCACAAACTGTTTTCTCTCCGGTAAACGGTACCGAAGCATTCGGTCCAAGTCCAACAGACTACGGAACAGCTTCTACCTCCAGGCAATAAGACTGCTAAATAGCCAACCTGCAGCTCCTTTAGCAAATCACCTGTAATGGCTACATGGACACACAGTTTTCACTGTATTCAGCATAACCGCACTACTTGTATATATTGTATACACCATGGACACATAGCAGCTCTACTCATATTGAGTTTATTAAATTTCTATTACATCTATTATTATGTAACCTTATTTTCATAACCTCAATTTTGTGATTTTTGTGAGCCCGCAGAAAAGAGATTTCATTGCCAGCAACTACTGCTGTACACTGTGTTGGTGTGCATTTGATATATAAACTTTGATTTGATTTGGGTGCCACATTGAATCTGGGGTGGCTGTCCTTTCCAGGGAAGGTAAGAGAGGTGGAATGCCACGTTGTCCTGTTAACAGGGGACACAGACAGGCAGGCAATAACTTGGACAGTTCAGTAGGGGGGAGAATTTCCTTTCAACTAAGAAAAACGCTCAGCCATGTGTATGCTCTCTCGAGGCACCAGTTCTGTAGGGGTTTGGGCATTTACTGGGACAATTATTAATTGTGGCAGTAAATCACGAAATTATTCTTTTAATGACCTTAGAATCCAACCATGCGGTATAAAACAACGCACACACACAGGTACTAATACACGACGATACATTTATTAATACATAAAATGTGCATGTAAACATAACAGATCTTATCGTGAGGGTTAGCAGAATACAAAAGATATATATTCATTCAGTTACGAAGAGGACATACATTCAGTATATCATTTATTTAGACCTTTTCAAAAATTAACTTGTTACAACTTCTGCATTAGATACTCAAAACAAGTACATAACTCTTAGGAATTAAATTGATATCAACTGGTTGGGATAACTGAATTCTCAAGCTGTAATGCAGTGAAGTTGAATACTCATCCAATCTCTGGGGATTCAGATCTCCTGCAGGCACAAAGAAACAGTCACAGGCTTGTTGCTGTCCAATCCGCGCTCTCTGGCTCGGTGCCAGGCCATGCTGTGCGGCTTGCGACGGTGCACTGCTGATGCTCTCTGAAGACCGGCTAGTTAGTGTTGGCTTTAACTAGCAAAGTTTGTGCACAGGAGAAAAGTCTGTGGGTCCCAGCAGGTCAGGAAGAGCACCGGTTCTTTCCTGATGAAGCTAGTTCTGAATACTGATTCAGCTGTCCACAATTCTGACCTGTGAGGCTTGCTGCTGATGCTAACCTTGGGTGGATCCCTTGGTTAGGCTGGCAACCTCCACTCTCGACTCTTAGAACAAAGCAAAGTTCTGGCACTCGGACACACTGGCCGTTATGTGGAGTCTCTGGATGGTCAGGAGGCACGCTGCGAGAATGTCCTGCGCTTCCCAACTGTTCTGGCCTGCGGGCCGTCCTGCCCTGGAATTGTCTCGCACCCCTGGAATTCTTCCAGGAGCTCTGTGTTGCCTGATTTCATGGGCATCAGGGACCCACGTGGGTTATTCGGCCCTACCAGTCCCTGATTGGTTGATTAAGGTGAGATATGAGTCACTTACTCTTGACACTTAGGAATGCAGTCCAGATGTCCACCTGGCACTCCCTAGACAGATAGGCGCCAATGGATGACCATTGATCATGATAGCCAGGCTTAGCTAAGTGCATCCCCATTTGGGAGATGTCCCTCATCAAAAGAAACCTTAAATCAGCCTGCATGAATAGCTTCTCTGTGGCTGCACCACAGAGATGAAGAGAGAGAAGGGGCCCCACTGGCAAGGGAGCAGAAAACTGAATTATTGTATTTTAATAAGCCTTGCTGCTACACATCTATAATCTTTTTGTTCCTCTGAATTCATCAGTATGTTTCAGGATTAGTATTAGAAGAAGACATTAAACATTCATTCTCTACACGCTGGTGTTTCTTTTTGAGTTACAATAATCTCTTGTGGTAGATGCAACTATCAAGAATGTGTGTCAAAACTCATGTTAGAGGTAAGCAAATTGCAGTATCCTGTGCTGTTTCGGCATTCTGAATTTAGCTCTTGACAAAATCAATAGATGACTCTTGCAGTGCATTACATACTGTATAGCCTCATCTGTTTTAATACTTCTTTAAATCCACTTATAGAGTATTAATGTGGAATTATGTAACTAAAATGGAATTTTGGAAGCTGAAATAAAAAAATAGCCGAAGTATAATAACTTTCCAAAAACATTATTCACAATATTAGTTTATGAATATGAATGTTGTTTCCATATATTGTGATTATTTCCAATCAACCTTCTACTCCACTTTCCCCTTTTTTATTTTGAAATGATCTGTTCCTACTCTGATTCATCAATTACATATATCCCCTTAAATATGAAAATGTTTTTTTTGCACATTTTAAATGTAATTATATTAATTTGAAATTACATATTACTGTTGGCAACTTACCTTCATGTTAATTATGGTACTTATAAATGTATTTGCCTTTAATAAGTAGTATTTTAATTACATCTATTTTGATTTGTATTACACACAAAGAGGAAAATTATCTAATTTACTCAAATTAACATTTTCATTTAAATGTGACTTTTTTAATAAAAATGTTTACCAAACCGCTTTATACCATACAGCGTTGCGGGAAGCCGAAGCCTACCCGGCAAACAATGAGAGCAAGGCAGGGTACACCCTGGATGGGGCACCAGTCAGTCCCAGAGTAAGTGCAAGCCAATCATACATGGGGACATGGAGGCCAAGGTAAAGGCCAAAGGGGGGGGAATTTGGCCCGCACACCGGGATAACCCTACTCTTGTCAAGAAATGCCCGGGGATCTTTAATGACCACTGAGAGTCGGGACCTTGGTTTAATGTCTCATCCGAAACACAGCACCCACTACAGTACACAGCATCCCTGCCACTATATCGGGCATTGGGACCCACACAGCTTAGCTTAAGTGGGTAGCCAGTTGTAGGGTGATGTGGCTGCTGGCTTGATAAAAATGTAGTACTGCATTTTTTTGTTATTTCATATTTAATACAATGTTTAAAAGACTCTCTTTATATTAAAACAAATGGGTCAAGGGAATATCCATGATATTCGAGAGCATTGGCATTCATTTCCCTGATCCCACTCCAAAATGTTTCCAGCAGGTGGTGGAAAGCCACGTGAGAGGCTTTTTATCATGTAAATTGACCCATTGTTGTGTTTTACTAATTGACAACAGGTCAGTGAGTAAATACTGAAGTCTGTTCAGTTAATGTCTGTATTCTACCCTTTTGGGTCCTGGGTCTTTTTAAGCATCATAATCTAGCTAGCAAGTGTGAGAATCCTGTCATAGAGAGACTAAAGAACAGAGTATAGAGTGTACTCAACAAAACATAATCCATTTTCCTGGTACTTTACCACGCTAATGCATTTTCTTTGCATAAAATAGTACAATAATGATCTTTTAATGCAGGAAGGTGCTTATTGATTTTAATTAAATCACAATGTTTCAGCTGTGGAGACGTCTTCGGGTGTGACACACCTGATGTATGTAGAGAAGGGTTGGGCAACTAGCAAGAGACTAGAGTTAGAAGAAGAAAGGTTGCAAGGTGGGAAATAGGAATATAGTCAGGTACTGAGGTGCCAAGCCATGTAGAGCTTTAAAGGTGAGCACATGGATTTTGATTTAGATACAAAAAACCATATAGGAAGCCGGTGCAAGGCATTAGTGGGTAACTTTCTGCTTTTGTGCAATAGGAGGGTTTACTGAGGACTGTTCTGCCTCTGCATTTTCATTGTGTCTCAGACCCTGAGCCAACGCAGCAAACACCTCGGTTCCTTGTTTTGGATTGAAGCGCTTGGTTAGATGCTTGATTTGTCCCTAGATTTTTGAGACATGTCAACAATCACTTCCAAGAACCATAACAATAATGGGCTTTTTTTATCCATATATTTTTGTTAGCTGATTTATTCAACCATTTGGGACACGGTGTTCTAGCTAGCCTTTGATTTTCTTTCTCAAGCTGTTCTGGACTAGGAGCAAAATATCTTAAGAAAAGCTTATATTTTTTCTAAATACTAGTAAGCCAGATGTGTTAGAATATTGCCTAATTGCTTAATATGTTCTGTAACTTTTCTTACATTAAAAAATGATTGTCACCAATTTTTTACTGATTAAATATCTACTTTGCTACATTCCACTTTTCTTAAAGTATTCCATTAGTGTCTGCTTTTCCTGAAATCTTTGTTTCAGATTCTACCTGTATAGCTTCATTGTGAGGCAAAAACATGGTGGTGCTGCCTAGGTTGCTGGGGCCCTAGGTTGCCCATTGTGTGAGTCTGTGGATGTCTGTGTGAGCCCTGTGATGGACTGGCGCCCCATCCAGAGTGTATCCCAGCTTATTTACCAGGATAGGTTCCGACTCCCCTGCAGAGTACTCAACCCAATTTACTTTGTCACCCAATTCTCATTTTTCAATGAACTAATTACTATTTCCTTTAATAAAACCAGGCACTGGCATATTTCATTAGCTCAACTCTGTTGCCCAATTCTCAGTCTTTAGTAAAATAATCACTTCAACTTAACTCTTTGCCTTTACCGAGCAACAGATCTTTACCTTTGTTTTCATTAACAAGCTGGTCTTATAAGCCTTATTATTAGCCCAGAGGAGTGGCTAATTCCATGCAGTCTATCTAAACAGCTCTTTTCCATTATGTGAACTCCCTGTGAGAGCCAATTGAAGGTTGAAGATATAAACTGATTTTTTGTTTATAGACTAGTTGTTTAGTAATGCATATAATGATATCATCACCTATTGATACATTATTAGCTCAAGTCTGGTCCCGGGTAGATGTATGTGGTCATGGTTTATGGGTTCCAGAGTAAACAACGTTCTTCACGTATTCACAAGCCAAAGACACTGAGACCAACTCAGCACTAATTCTTATTTCTCCACTGTGTGGTTATTTATACATTTACAGTATTTCAAATTAATAAAAAGTTGTGAGGGATCAGATATCAAGACCTTGTGGAAAACAGGTTAAAAGAACAGGGACAGCAGTTTTCCAAAATATTAATTTTTGTCTTAGATCCTGAAGTCTATCACATCAGTATAATAAAGGTTATGATTTTTATAGATAGATAGATAAGACTTTATTGATCCCGAAGGAAGTTGATGTGTTACAGCAGTCCAGCCCAAGACAAGCAAAAAACAGACATCAGAATAGACAAAACATTTTAATACATACAGTAATACAAAATAAATATAAAATAAATACATAGGTGTGTGCAAAATATGCTCATAGTAACTGTTAAAACAATACAATATGTGCAAAATGTGCATAGGTATATACAAATTGAGTGTCCAAAAAAAAGTACAATGGAGCAACATGCTGACCATCGACGAGTAAATGAAGGGCTAACAGTCCTAGCCTAGGGCAGCGTTATACACCCTGGCAGCCGCCGGGAGGAAAGACCTGTGGAAATGTTCCCTTGAACACCGTAACTGGAGCAGTCTGTTGCTAAAAGTGCTCCACTGTCCAATAACAGTCCCATGAAGTGGCAGAGAGGCATTGTTCATGATGGCTGTGAGCTTGATCAGTATTTCTCCTCTATTCTTCTTATTGTTTAATTTATATTCCTCTTCATTTATTCTATTGCTCATGATTTGCTGTGCATTATCCTTCTTATTTCATGGTCAAACTATAAACTTCACAAACTATATATACTTATATACATTATATATACTTATATAATGTAGCACAGTCAAAATGTTCACAATACTTTTACAATATAGTGTCCCCATCACTATACTGGGGCCTTAGGAGACACAGGGACCACAGGGTGAGCACCCCCTACTGATCACTGACTTTCTGTTATTGGAATTTGACTAAAAATGTTGATTATTTAATTTCTAAAGGATAATGCGTTGCATTGATTTTAGTTGCAGACTTGCAGGACATCCAAAATAGAAGTAGGATTGTGTGCCAGAGCTGCATCATTATACAGTAGAAGTGCAGTTCAAGAACCCCCCTTCTTTGTTTTAACTAATGTTGTAATTTTGAAGAAGTAGAATTTTGTGGTTCAACTGTTATTAATATACAGTAGATAGTACTGTGCTGTAACTAACCACTTTTGGATGTCTGCTGAGGTAAAAACAGTTTAACTTGTTTCATGTGTGAAAGAAAATGACTTTTCAGCAATTTGCTGAAGCACTTGAATCATGTCAAGCAATTGAATCTGCACAATCAGCAATTTTGTTAAATGTTTTCCATTTCAAGAGAAAGGTACTGCATATTTAATTCTGTTTCTGTCAGTTTGATTCTTTATCATTTTAGATTTTAATTAAAACTGTTTTCCTTTGATGACTCTGTTTCATATATAATTGCTTTTTCTCCAATGAGCTCATATCCTGTAAAATAATTATTTATTAAGAAAACACAAAACACTTGACATATTTATAGGAAACATTTATTTTAATATACATTTTGTGGTTCATTAACATAAGTTTTGAACATATGTACATCCAGAATAGTTTATTTGTTTTGTACAACAAAATCAAACTTTATTCCTTGTTTCCAATATAAAAACGTATATGTATATAAAACAGAAAGACAAAATATTAAGGTATAATGGAAAAATAGCCTTCTAGTTCAGAGGTAGTTACACTGTATAGCTGTCAGCTGTATAGCTTCCTACTTTAAAAGCAAAATTGAACAAAAGTTATAAAAATCAGAAGTCAGTTGCATCTGTATGCTTTTCAATAAATACAATATTTTTGATTAAGAGGAATATCTTTAAATGACTGTAATTATATCAAGAGGGGCGTATGTAAAAATAAATGAATTCTGGTAAAATGTAAAGATCTGTGCGTCAAGTCTTTAGAGGGTTTTCATTGTCCTTTAGGCCAATATAGGAGAAAAGGGGAAGTACTTGTGCACAGAAACAGAAGAAAGATTATGTTCCTTTCAAACAAAATATCAAAAAGCTAATATTCATCCTAAAATTCTGAATAAACAATCAATGTAACAAATTTGTTTTCAGTTGTAATTTAAACAATAATGTTAGCCACCTTGGATTTATACTTTCCAATCTTGAAAGTACAGATGCCCCAGGTTGTAATGCTACTGTAGTTTTGTCCAACAGCATGGTAATTACTGTATTTTCATAGAAAACAATGTGTACTACAGCTGTGAATGTTGCACATCTTCCAACTCAGTAGATTTGATTACCTAACTATGCTGCTGAAAATGATGGGGAAAGTTGCTTTGCTTTTATAAATTAATTACAAGTAGATGTTACTTGAGTAAGGAATTAATTTTGAAGATGTCAGGTGAAAATCTAAGTTGTGTTTTAAAACTGCTACTAGGAGGCATTTCTTTACTCAAAGGGTTGTGGACCATGGAAGAAGCTACCAATGAATGGATAAGGTCCTTGGATCAATAAACTACTAAAATGGGCCAACTGGCCTCCTCTCTTTTGTAACCCTAGGTTTTTTTAGTGTGCCACAATTTAAAGTAATACATTACCATTTTAAACTGTTTCTCTCAACTTTTGTTCTTTTTATAAAGCACTTACATGTGTACATTGTAACAGATACTGTACATTTTAAAAAGTAAGTTTCCTCAACAGTGGTCACTAATGTTAATAAATTACCCTATACATAAGAAACAGCTTTTCTTAGATCTCTAAGTACCGGGAGCACTGTAACAACTGTATACATGCACTAACAGATCAAAAGAAGTAAAGGATACAGTAAGTTCTTTAGAAATAGAGAATATAACAAGCTTTTAATGCGATTTTGTTAAAAGTGTATTTTCCTATTTTATATGTACCATAGAAAATTATTTATATATTCTCTGGATATCATTATTAATGATGTATAGTTGATCACCCTAACAAAAGAAACCTAGCTTAATCTAAAGCAAGGTTGAATGTTGTGGAGGTGATTACTTGCAATTTTGTAAACATCAAACAAACAAAATTACAAGCTTTAGATTTATACAGTTGAAGATAAAGGTTTGCAGTGGGGTGCATTTTACCATATGCTAAGACTGTTCTTTCAGGGTAGTTATATTCCATTTCAGAATTAATCACCATTCCAAGTGGCTTTTCTGGTAAAGATACTCACTTGGTTAGAAGCTCTCTCTATGAAGCTCTAATCTCTATGACTACAGATTTGAGCTAGCTGCTGACATTGACCAGAACTGTCCAGTCAGTGATACACAACAGGCTGAACAGGTAGAGAGCAGGTGGCCAGGGTTACCTTGGCTCTAAGCACAACAGCGACATTTGAAGGCAGGTATGCAGTAATGTCAGTGAGGGACATGGCTCTCCTCCAGAAGGCGCTGAAGCTCTGGTACAGGGCTGTATTGCCTGTGACACGTTAATATACAAATGGCTCAAAGGTGGATGCACCTTCATCATTCTCTTTTGTGTGGTCACAGAGTTTGTAGCTGTGTATACTGAAATGTGAAAAAGCATTATCGACAGTTCCATATCAAGTGTGTATGACTAAACATACAGTAATTTGTGAATGTAAATAAAAAAACTGACTTTCAAAGGTCAGGTCTTTCAGGTCTTAAATGACTTTCAAAGCTCAAAGGTCAGGCTTTGCATAAGAGAATCACAAGTTGAACTCAGTAAATCTTCTATGTTCATGACTGCAAATTGAACCCTATGATAGTACTTCTATTTGAACTTTAACAAGTATAATAATTAAAACAAAACCTGCATAATATGACAGTAATAGCATTTTGCTACTAATAAAAATATTTTTTTATTAAAACAATTTGTTGGGTGCTGTGCATGTTCAAGAACTACTTTTGAAACAACAGTTAGCTACAGACATAGCACTATGCCAATTTTAAAACTGCTCATGAAGGTAGGAGTTAAAATTAATCAATATACAGTTACTTAAGCATAATGGTCCCTTCTTGAGTGATGATTGTTTAAGCAATTGATTTGCTACCTACTGTCCTTTGGAAAGTGTTGCATGGCTTCTAATGATACTAAATTCAGTATATTTTAAAAAAATACTAAATTATTAATGAAATGGAAATGGTGAGGAAGAGTAAATTCCATTACAGGAACTACTGCTGCTTTTCAGGAGGTTGTTCTTCATCCATTAGAGAGGGCCCTGTGCCAGAGAAAGTTGTACAGTCTTTCCTGGGGGTTGTTTGCTGTTGGCAGAGGATTAGAGGAACTGAGGAGGATGGAGGGTAATGGATTGGCTCTCGTGTAGGCAGGATACTGCCCTCAAAGAACATATCCACATCAGAGAAGGAGACAAGAGCCTGTGTGGAGTCATAGGAGCTCTTTTCAGTTTCCTCAGAAACAAATGAATTCAAGGTTTCCTCCTGTGGGGACTTGGACTTCCTGCAGAGAAGATGGAAGTCCTCCTTGAAGTGGGGGTTGAACAAGAGATAGAGAAGAGGGTTCAGGCTAGCTGGGAGGGGAAAAAGAATGAGCAAGACAGACTTTATCACCTCCTCACTAATGGGGAAAAGACTGAGAAGGGAAGAAAAGGTGAGAAAGGCCACAGGACAGTAGAGCAAGCAATTGGTAAAGATAAGCCAGGCCACATGCTTAATCATTGCACAGTCCCAGACGCTGTTAAACTCTCCTGTCATCAGATCCCAATAAAGCTTGATGTAGGTGCCAGTGATCACCAAGAAGCATAGGGTGTTCATCATGATGAGGGCCACCATGAAGCCTAGAGTGGAAGAATGCCCTACTGGGAGCGGGTAGGGGAGGCAAAGAGGTGAAGATCCATATTCTCCCACTTTGAAGATGGGCAGTGCTGCTGCTGCCAGGGACAGCCCCACACAGCACAGTGCAGCTGCTTTGACACTGCTGAAGGAGGGGGACTTGCCATAGGCCCTAACACAGGACACAGAAATGCTGCACTGCACTGCTGCTAATGTCAAGAAGAGGATGGATGCTTCAGAGGCAAAGATGGAGAAGAAGCCACCGACCTGGCAGCCCAGGCCTGTCTCCCATTGAGCTCCATGCTGGGAGAACTCCCCAAAGGTCAGTGTGTCCACCAGCGCCAGAGTACCTGTGCATAGCCCAGTCAGCAGGTTGGCTCCACCAATAAAACCAATGACAAACTTGACAGGGGAAAGGTAACTGGGTGAGACAAGGACTGTGACAATTAACAGGGTGTTACAAATAAGAGAGACCAGAGCAATAGCCCACACACCCAACCGAATTACCCAGCTGTCAAACAGGTATTCACATGGCTTGAATGGGCCTAAAAAAAGGTTAAAAAAAGATCATCAGGAAAGTTGTCAATTCAAAAAGACATTTTATTTTGCATGAGGTTCAGTGCTTGTCTATGTTTTAATTCATTTGTTCATTCATTTATTAAATTTTAATTACCTGGAGCGGGAGTACATTGAACGCTGGGTTGTAGTCTGTCTTCATCAACTTCCAACTGGAATTCTTCCACCTCTACATCATCTGAAACAAAATGCTAGAATTAGATCAAACACAGGCAAGGACATCAATTATGTCTGTAGCCAGCAATGGTAAATGCTGACCTTATTAAAATATTAACATGCCTAGCAATTAAATTGAGTTTGAATTGGTGGGAGACATCAGTACTGGTCATTTTGACTTTGGTAGAAAAATTTAAGATGGAGAGGTGTGCCAGTACTGTTCTATACAACCCTTTATAATGATATTAACATGCCATTTTTCCATAGAGATGCAGAATTAGAAAGGAAATATAGATACCTCTAGCATGAAGTGGAGAGCAGTTTAGAATTAAGATGTGTACACAGCCATTGTAGAGGCTGTTGGATGTCTGTGCATATATATGCTCTGAAGCTCATAGTGCTCTTTTTAGCCTTTCATTTCTTACTTCACATGCAATGAAACTGATATGCACTCATGAGAATGTACAACACTGATGAATATGATTGTAAATAAGGTAATCCTTTTTATTATGTATTTGTTTTACCTCTGGTTGATCCAAAGTCTTGTCATAATTTGTTGTATGTGTGTGTGAGGGTTGTATCAGTGTCTTTCTCCCTGTAATGCTGTGTTGTTATCTGTGTCTTAAAATGAAATACTGTAGATATGACTCACTAGCTGCTTGGCTTTATAATGGGCAATATTTTGAGTCACCTCTTTCTGAGTTTTGTGCTGTTGCTAGCTCCAGAAATTGTTGCAATACATTTACTGTTGTATGTAATACATGTTTTGATGAATAACTAGCTGTATTTTATTTTTTTAACTACAGTATAACAAAGTTCTTTAGCCAATTTTACTTATTGTACAGGTATGTTTCATCATGTACCTGTCATAACTTATTGCCATATCATGGTTCAAGCTTCCTGTCTGTATTCTAAATTGTTATCAAATGAGTTACATAAAGATTACAAGGCAATTCTTAAATATAATCTGTGGAAAGATTGGCAATGGGAGTGTTAATGTATCAGTGAGAGTGTGAGAGATACTGTACTACAAACACCATGCTGAAAACAGTTCTCTCCAGAGACTTCTTTTTTTGCTTTTAGTTTTAAATTACACATCCATCCACCCATTTTTTTTTAGAAAATCATCCAATTCAGGGTTGGAGGAGGGCAGAGCCTAACCCAGCAAGCAACGAGAGCAAGGTGAGGAAATGCACCATAGGATGCCAGTCCATTAAAAGGCACGCAAAAACAGTCATAGACATACACTCACACTAGGGTCAAATATTGCAGAATCCACTAAATCTAACAGTATGTCTTTGGACTGTAGAAGGAACCGGGTCATCCAGAGATGTAAACATGGGGAGAACATACAAAACTATACAAAACACAAAAATAGGTAGCACCCCAGTTCAGAATTGAATCCAGGGCCCCTGTTATTGCTATTGCTTATTGTTATTACTGTTATTCTACTAAGCAAGAACTAAATGGAGCTCTAAATCAAAACATTTGATTTATTAGGACCAGTCAGCTAATATATAAACTGAGATTATATAAACATTATATCATGTAATGTGTTCATATATAGCTGAATGTCAGTTATAATTTAATGTTGAATTTTAATTTTAAAAATGTGTTTGCTAAAATACTACAGATGAGGGCACATAACTACATATGCAATACCCTTATCAATTGTTTGAATTTGATTATGTGGTGTAACTTTCATAGCTCATTGATAAATAATACAGTTATATACAAAGACACTTTAGCGTATGTGTAAAAGATTATAAAGGTATTTTTAATGGGCTATTTATATGTATGCAATACTATAAAGGTAAGTGTTATGCAATTTCTAATTTCTAATTGATGTCTGCGGATCTTGAATGTTCAGGGTAGTTAGGCCTCTACTGTTTGTTGAATCATTACCTTGACTTACCAAAGACCAAGCTATTGGAACCTGGAAAGCTGTTGTGACACTATGGGAATACAACTACAGGAAAGAGAAGAAGGGGTAGCGTTCAAAAGAACTGTCATAAATAATAACTTCTGAAAAGTCTTGGATAAGGATAATTTCTTTAATGCACTCTTATATTTAACATATCCCTGATTCCCTGAATCACCAGTGTGAAGTCACATCACAAAAATAACAAATAGACTGAAGTGACACCCAGATGTGTATGAAAACATTTAAGAGTTATATCCCATGTTTCTTATATGTATTCTTAATTTAAGCTTGCTTCTTTTCATATAATATTTATCTTATATAAATATCAGAACAAAGTCTTAATGCATTAATATAGCTGTAATATTGATGACAGTTCAAGTAGGTAGCTACGCCAGCATTTGTAGACTGCAAAGGAACAAGTAAGGGTTTATCCCATGCTAGAAAGAAATTAATCACAATGTTTTGGCTGTGGAACCTGAAGAAACATAAGATGGACACTTATATTCTTAAATTGTGGCAGTATTATTTCAATAGCAAGAAGCTACAATACTTTGGAACTTTGTCATGTGATCCAGAGTTGTACTTAATATGCGACTAATTTGCTTAGTACAGTGGTTCTTGAACTTTTTGGACCAAGTACCACCCCTGACCAAACCGAAGCATCCAAGTACCAATACAAGTCATCTTCTCAAAGGAACCACAGAAAATCTCAATGACCAGCATGAGCATGTGCGCACACACATATAATAAAAATAACACTGAGCACTTAGATCCGTGGTTTTCAAACTATGGTACTCGGAGCGCCCCCAGGTGGTAAGCCAGATGACCCTGGAAATTTGTTGTGGGAAACTGAAAAATTGGGCTGGGTTTTCATATTTTCTATTTGAATAAATTAGTTTGTGTCAAATACGCAGCCTACATACTACGATACAGCACGTACTAATACATGAGTGGACACAGCTACTATGTAATTCTACACGCTTGTATAGGAATGCGTACTACGAACGTGACCAATTGTATTTAAAAAAAGTTATCTCCAGCAAATAGGGAGGCAGGAGAATGTCCGTGATTTTGGAACAATGCCAATTTTGTAAGCACAGGAAAGCGTGATAGATATCAGAAAAAATATTTAAGGACTGATCTAGGTTAATTTGTGAAAAATACACCGAGCATCTCTGTGTTTCGCTCCCATGCGTATGAAATAAAAAAATTCTTTTAACTTCTGACACAGACTCCTGAAACGGAAATGGGGAAAAATGCAAGCTTGTGGATTGCTAAAACAGGTAAGCCCCACACCATTGGCAAAAGAGCTGACATATTATGTGTGGAAAAAAAGCTGCTGAACAGCTCGACCTGCTGCCTTCTTCGAAAGACACAGTCACTCATTATTGATATGGCAGATGATGTCAAAAGTAAGCTGAGGTGAGCAGATGTTTTTCACTGCAATTAGATGAGTCTGTAGATGCCTTTGATTTAGCCAATATGCTCATTAATGTTAGATACGAATTTGAGGGTATGTCCCATGAGGACTTTCTGTTCTGTTCCTGACATTCAACAAAAACTACAGGAGAGTACATATTTCATCTTCTGAATGAATTAATTGAAGAGAATGACATCGACTGGATGAAATGTGGCGGAATTTGTACAGACGGTGCTAGAGCGACTACAGGTAGACACACCGGTGTAATTACATGAATTAGAGTTTCCTCCAGATATGAAGTACTGTAGACGCACTGCAGCATCCATCACGAGGCCTTTGCCATCAAGAAAATGCCTGAGGATTTAAAATCTGTTATACTCTGTTGTGAATTGTATCAAGGCTCGACCAATGAATTCACATCTACTTTTCTTGAGTAAACAGGCTCACCCCTCTCACTGAAATGGTGCTTTTTTATTTATTTTTAATTGTTGTTGTTCCTGTTGTCATTCTTTAAAGCGCTTTGAGAACCCACCTTTAAAGGCGCTATTTCAAAGAAAGTTTTTCTTATTATTATTATATTTATTATAAGTGTATGTGCGCGAGCGATCATGTTGGTCATTGAGATTTTCTGTGGTTCCTTTGAGAAGATGACTTGTAGGTGATACTTGGATGCTTTGGTTCGATCAGGGGTGGTACTTGGTCCAAAAGTTTGAGAAACAGTGATTTAGATAATTTGGATTGTACCGCCTTGTACCCGTTTTCCGACACTTGCTAACACTAGCAGTGCTGCCTGTGTCAGGTTCAGCAGAAGAGCTAGTGTCTGTGTCTAGTAGAGTTACCATACATCTGGATTTTCCAGGCCATGTCCTCTATTTTGATCCTTATATCTCCGTCCGGGGGTAATTTTCAAATATCTAGAAATGTCTAGGACTTTGACCCCATTATTTTTACCATGAAGAATAATTAACAAAAGTGATAAAGATAGTTAGAAAGAGAGAGAAACTGCTTTCTTTTGATAGTCTGCTACATTGTCTCTCACACCTTGGTGTCATAATTGTGAGATGATTTTATAATCAGGAGGGAGGGCCACAGCAAAACAGCAGAAAGTGCCATCAACATTTGCCAATGTATTCTCTCATGCCATGTTCAGAGGGTCATATTTTAAAAAATGGTACAGTAAAAGTTCCTGAAGTTCAGGATTTTGAGAGACTGTAATATTGTCTCTCACACCTCAGTGAAAGAATTGTGAGATTTTATAATCAGAAGGGAGGGCCACAGCAATACAGCAGAAAGTGCCATTACCCTTTGCTCATCCCTGGTTAATCATATATTCTCATATGCCATGTTCTAAATGTCCCATTTAATACTGCTATATTAAAATGTCTTGTAAAATGCAAGATTTTGAGACTTTTAATGATCATCAAAGTGCCAATGAATTGACGTTTTGCCTTTGTCTTATTTAATTGTTTTCTAACATGCCAGTTTGTGTTATTGTGAATTTGGAAAATTGGTTTTCGATTTTCTGAAATGTGTTTCATACAAAAATGCAATTTGGACAGTCACTATTTACTAACATATTTCCCTTTAATGAGGATATGTACAGTAATCCATCCAGATTAGTACATTTAAAAAATACTGTAGAGAGCCATCTACAGGCAAAGGGTGACATAACATCACA